GGTGCGAGGGGAGGAAGGCTGGTCGTGCAGGATACGGGAGAGACCCGATAAATCTGTGTAGTTTGGAAGTCAATTTCAAACTAAATCAGGCTGACCCACTCTAACAGCTGCTGGATCCCAGGGGAGGATGAGTTACAGAGCAGGCTGGGAGCACTGGGATTATCCAGAACAGTTTCTTGCAGAAGTTTGTGAAGGTATTGGGTGCGAGGGGAGGAAGGCTGGTCGTGCAGGATACGGGAGAGACCCGATAAATCTGTGTAGTTTGGAAGTCAATTTCAAACTAAATCAGGCTGACCCACTCTAACAGCTGCTGGATCCCAGGGGAGGATGAGTTACAGAGCAGGCTGGGAGCACTGGGATTATCCAGAACAGTTTCTTGCAGAAGTTTGTGAAGGTATTGCATGCGGCGGTCAAAAAGCTTACAAATCTAAAATACAGGACACCATGTGAGGAAGATGAAGAGTTTTAGACCTCAGCATTCAGGACAGGAGTCTTTTATATAGTGAAAATTGTGAAAATGACTGAATTAAGTACAAAAAAGTGAAGTTTGGCGTTGAAATACTGTCGTATGGCTAATATGGGTCAAGTGGGTGATCTCAGCCTAACCCAAAGGACGGTAAAAGATGAAAAGAAGAAAAACGAACTGAAATGATACTGCATTGCTGTGAGAGGAGACTTGTTTCTCCTTGGTGCCTGCAGTTTGTTTAGCCCGGTTTCCTTCCATTCTTAAATAAGTATATTTTTATGAAGAAGTAGAGAGACAAGCTCTGCCCTGCTTACGGTGTGCTGTCTGTGGCCACAGTGGAAATGTGTTGACATGTAGTAGAATAATTTGTGACTTAGATTCGATAATTAAAAGAAAAATAAGAATCAAAAAGATTCCTCACAGAGCCGATCCAATACATATCTTCAGTCGACCAGTTTCACCCAGGCAGAATACTTGTAAAGAAAAGGTGAGGAAATACTTACTAAGAGCTGAAAAATATCTTGTTTTTTCTCCTGGTTTTGACCACTTCCCGTACTTATCTCTAGTTTATTGATAATGTGGTTTTGTTGATAGTGTTAAAATACGTTTAATGTTGATAGTGTTAAAATACAGTCTAAATTTGCACAGCATATTGAAACGTGGTTTTCAAGTATGTTACTGATGCTCACTTTCCGTGCTAAAGGTTCTGAATCATTCTGAGTGTTTTCAAAGCCAGCAAAGTATTCCTTCCTTTGTTTTGTGGTTGGGGTTTTTTGCTTTGCTGTTTGCCTACTTTCGACGCTGTGATACTGAGAGGTTTTGCCTGAGTACACTTTTAAAAACTCTGTATAACAGGAGTAGTTTCACTGATTTAATGGGATTGTTTATACTTCATCATATGAACTAGGGGGCTTGAAATAGTTGGCTCTTCTCCAACTGTTTTAATTACAACAGCTTTGTAATGAGGCCATACATTGATTGGAAAGTAGGTTGAGCCAGTGAAACTCGCTTTCATGCCAGACGTCTTGCAGGTGTGAGATGGCAGTAGCTCAGCTGCTCTGAATTGAATTGGCAGTACAGAACCGAAGAATTCTTTGCCATATTATCAAGCTTCATTGCTATATTTTTTTAATTCGGCTTTAAAGTGACCTAAGATCAGGGTGAGTGTTACTGTGAATACTTTTTCTGTGCACAGGGCTTGGGATCTAGTCAGGGTTAAGGGATTTACATGAAAAGTGTACTTTTTGTAGCAGGACACTCACTGTTATGATAAAGATTCCTAGGGAATTTGAGTCTTTCTAATTGTAGAGGAGAGCTTAGAAAACACTTGGTTGCAGCACTACGGGTTTTCTTACCTACAACTTTTATATTTCTCTGTTTACTTCTTTCCCTTTAAGGTATGCAAGTTAAAACACAAAATATGCATGGGCAATAGTTTTTTTATTGTAGGACTATCATTAACTTTGGTAAATTTGTATCCCTGTTTGAAGTGCCTTAAAGCAATTAAAACTTAGTTTAAATTCAAGTACTGGAAAATGTACAGAGTATAAGCACAAAAAAAAGCTGCATAGTGAAAATACTAGAGCAGGCGAATACATTCAGGATGCCAATTACTCAAGTATTAATAACACCAAATCAGTATTAAGGTTAATGATAATCAGTCAGCTTCATACAGCAGATCTAGAACTGTTGGAGATACAAATACATTGTTCTTATTAACAAAAGATAGAAGCATAAATTATCACTGAAGGAATTTGTAGTATCAGTGTAACACATGCCATGAGTAATAAGGCAAATACTGTCACTTTAATCTCTCACATGCTGCTGTGAATCCAGCAAATCCAGTACGTGGCCTCTCTAGATTCTGAGCCCCTTCAATCCCGGTGAGTTGGTGGCATCCATGCCTCTTCAAAGTTCACATAAACTATCATTCTAAATACAGTTTTGTTTGAATTTTTGTTGGAAATTCATCTCAAAACATTATAAAGAAGTACGTCTGAGTTTGTATTTCTGGTTTTAATGTGTACAGATGCCAGATCATCTACTGTACTTTGTATTTGCTCCTTTGTGTAGGAGTGGAGGATAATTAATGGATATGGTAGAATTTTACTTTGAATATGTAGCCCTTATTTTGTCCATTTGATTTGAAGGAATAATAGTTGTACTCTGGCATAATAGTGACTTGTTACATGTACTAGATCAAGAGCAAAACTTACATATAATACCTGTCAGAATAGGAATTTGTTGAAGATTCCATTGTTAGAAGAAACAAAATTAATTAAATAGAATTAAAGTGATGGGTTGTCTCCTTATATTTGAATAATTAAAGAGGAGAATTTGACTTGCTATGGCTAAGGAAGTTGTACAGATACGTGTGGACACATAAGAGACTGGTTGATTTTTCAGTGGAAATTGCTGCTTTAAAACCAGTGGAGCAATATGGCTCAAATGTTGTTGGCTTGTAACAATGCTTTTAAAAATGTGCATATAATCATGTAATGCAAAAACATTTTAGCTCAGTTGTTGCCTTAAAAATCAGTTTAAAAATACCAGCCACTTCTAAAAGAAAATTCTTTGTTAGTAGTTTTTAAGAGCATCTTTTTATGTAAGCGTTATTTTAAAATGTATTTCAAGAAGTATAGCAGTTGTGATATAAATCATTACAAGAATTCTTTAGTCATTCTATGTACGCAATATTGAATAATTAAGAGAATGAAATATGCATTTCTCATTTCCAGAAAGAGAAAACAAGTTCTCTTTTACAAAGGCATAGTATGTTAAAGTATAAAGTTACAGTTTAATTTTTGCAATATTTGGTGAAATTCTACAAAACAACAATAATCATAGAATCTCAGAATCACAGAATGGCTTGGGTTGGAAAGGGCCTTAAGGTCATCAAGTTCCAACCCCTGCCATGGGCAGGGACACCTCACTCTAGACCATGTTGTCCAAGGGTCTTGTCCAACCTGGCCTTGAACACTGCCGGGGATGGAGCATTCACTACTTCTCTGGGCACCCTGTGCCAGCGGCTCACCACCCTCACAGGGAAGAATTTCTTCCTTATCTCCAACCTGAACTTCCCCTGTTTTAAGTTTAAACCCATCACCCCTTGTCCTGTCACTACAGTTCCTGATGAAGTCCCTCTCCAGCATCCTTGTAGCCCCCTTCAGACACTGGAAGCTGCTCTGAGGTCTCCACACAGCTTCTCTTCTCCAGGCTGAACAGTCCCAACTTTGTCAGCCTGTTTTCATACAGGAGGTGCTTCAGCCCCTGATCATCCTCGTGGCCTCCTCTGGACTGCTGCACCCAGAGTATAAAACTAGCAGAAGTTAGGCTTCTTGGAATCTTAACTGTCTTGCTCTTCTCCCTTTCTCTTAAAAGACTTGTATGGTCTTATTGTATTAATAAAAGTACTTAGTAAGATTTGTGGTTGTAGCAGGATACAGGCCGTGTAAGCCCATCTACATTTTCAGAGCCCGCTGGAGACGAACTTTGGGTTAATCTGCTGTCAGTTAAGGTTTGATGGAAGGAATACTGCAAGATCTCCTCATTACCAGCCGGACTTCGATGTCGGGAAGAGTTTTCTTTTTAGTGTGTAAACATCCTTCATCTGTTGCTGCCAAGTGGAGATCAAAGCGCAACGAAACAGACTTTTTCCTTAAGCGAGGGTTGTCCTTAAAGAAAGAACCTTCCCATTCTTTAATGACTTCATCCACTTTTTCTGTCCTGAAACAACAGAGTAAATGTATTTATGATCCTCTAAGCAATATGAGTTACTGATCTTCAGGGCTGCTGAAATTGCATAATGAAGTGTCAGGTTATTTTAGATGGGTACTGAAAGACTGGAATTTTTCTTTTTTTCACAGGTTCACTCTTCAGAAAAGCCAAATAAAGGGTGAGGGTTCATTATATTCTTGCGTTTGTACTTTTAAGTAGGCATGGATACAAACCCACTGCTCCTAATACATCACCCAGTTTGTTTCCAAGGAGAAAGTTTGGAATCCAAGCTCAAAAACTTTGCAAGAAACTGCTGTATTATAGTGGGCAGAATTCCTGCATGTGAAAGCCTTCAAAATAGGGAGGAGAAAAATGTAGTTCAGATCCAAACTTCAGAACGCAGATGTATGTTAAAATCTGCAAATCTAACTAAGGTGATCTAAAGCTGGTGTATGAGAACGGTCTTCAGCTGGGGAGTGTGCATGGTGGCGTTAATTTTTAATGTGAATTTCTGCATGTTTTCAGCAGCTGATCACAGTTAAGTGTTGGTGACACAGGACACCACAGTTAGCTTTAAATGTAACGTTAAATGCAAGTCAACAAAAGAGCTTAAAGAGCAGCAGGGGAAAAAAACTGAGGAGTATTTACTATTCAAGTAATTTAAGGTGAATAACACATACTAACAGCCATTCACATGCCACTTAGGAGCCAAGCTCTCTGTTCCCTGTTTGTTAAGTAGTGAAATATAGGAGTTTCCAAATAGCTAGTCGGAGCAACTGAGCCTGAATGCATGTGCATAAACATGCCCGAGAGGGACTTTGCGAGCATGGTCTGGGCTCTTTTGTTTTTAGCTTTAACTAAATGAATTATTATAGTTTCATTCTTAGCAGAAATAGAAATTACAGATCGGAAGCATCATCATGCTATTGTTAACTTATGAAGTAAATGCCAATAAAAAGAACTTTAAAATTTAATGTATCATTAAAACATGCCATTCAATACATCTTCAAGAACAATCGCTGTTCTTCTAGAGCTTCTTGGCTGTATGGCATGATACAATAGCCGTTAAATAAAGGAAAACTCAAAGCTACTGCCCACCATTTACTTTCGATTGTTATTCTGTTAAACTCATGTTTATCTTACTGTACAGTGCCACGAGCTTCAGCGCTTCCCTTTGTAATGTTTCCATCTAGGATTGCTTGTTTTGTCAGCACTTCCACCTTCTCAGTTTCATGCTGCTTTACACCACCTGTAAAAAATCACAGATACACTGGGCAGGCCAAGTAAGGGCAGGCTGCAGGACCTAGAGGTGTTTTTCCTCCTGCTGCACTGGAAGAAGATTCTGGTGTAATATCCCATCATTTGTCAGTAGTGAGTAACCTCCTTTAGGGCCATAATTCCTTAAGGGGAAAGGGTCTAAAAACTCACTTGCAGACAGCTTAAAGGCAATCTTGCTGGTGGTGGGCTTTTTGTCATCCTTCTGCTCAGTTGTACAGGAGCGAAACCTGCAGAAAGAAAAATCATGACAGTCTCCTAATAACAGTGACTTTAATCCAACACTTGTCATATGAATTGCTATGAAAAATGTGAGAATATGAGAGCCCTGAGAAGTTGTGTTTGAGTGAAGTAACTGTTTGTTGAGGTTTCTCATTCTGAATAGAGATCTGAAGAAAGTGACTGCAAATATCTGTGCAATTTCATCGTTGTTTTCAGACAGTTTTTAGTCAATTTGTTGTGTGCTAGGCAGAGTTATTTGTATTGGTACTGAGTTGTGTGTATTTTCACAGTTGTAAGCATTACATTTGGAACTGACTCCCCTGTTTGGAATCTTCTTGGGCAAAAGCGTGAGTGAGGTTCCTGGACTGAAACTCTCCATTTGCTGTGGAAAGGACTGAGCGGGGGTGATGCTCCTCTGAAAGATTTGTGTGTCTGGTTTTGTTAAGATACCCGTGCTGAATGTGAAAGGTGCTATTTTTAGCATTTTGCCTGTTGCCTAGCCTCCTTGTTGTTTACATCTGCATCGCTGCCTTTCTTGTGTCTACCTTCCAAAACAATGGTATGTCTGTGCTGGGGAAGGGGCAGACAGGAGGAGTTACCACCAAAGCAGAATGGCACTAGGAGATCCTATGTGTGCCTTTACATGCTTTGAGTGATGCTGAGTAGTGTGAACTCCACGTGCAAATGGACATCTGTCACGTGATGAGACATGAACTCCTCTCCCAGAGCTTCATGTGTGTGGACTTGCTTCATCAACACTCTGAGACAAACAGAGCCCACAGCGGGCAGCTCATGGGCTACAGAGTGTACAGCAGCATGCAGTGCCTTGACTCAGGATGCAGTGAGCGCGCTGTTATCTGCAGTGCGCTGTGGAGGTGCTCTGAGCTCCAGGCAGCGTGAAAGCAACAGTGAAACCATTTCTAAGGTTTTGATAGTGTAATTTTGTAATGATTGGTTCATGTATTTACAATTCTGCTGATTATTTCAATAAGAAGTTATGAAATGGAAGATCAGTTTCAGTACTTTTCCTCTGAACAAGTACCTGTTCTCTTCTTGCTCCAGCAGACTGCGATATGTTGCTATTTCCTCCTCCAGCTTCATCCTGGTGTTCAGGAGAATTTCATGTGCCTGAAGCTGTTTCTCAATACCTCTTCTCATTTCCAGTAGCTCTTTCTCCAAGCATTCAACCTCAGATTCCAAGTTTTGTAGTTGCATATGGTACTGCTGCTCTGTGGCACGCAGTGAACGTTCCAAACCCCTTTCCTGTGAAATTTAACTCTTTAAGGTTTAAGATTGATACGTGTAAAGATGCTGTATGAACTTTTCCTTAGCAATCTGTGTATTTTTACATCAGTTTTTAAGAATATTCTGTAGGAACAGGAGTAAAGCTTTCAAGATAATACTTCTACTCAGAAATTTTCCAGTAAAATCTGTAATAATTTAAGATAGGATAAAAAAGAGTAAATGTAGTCTGATGTTGTATCAGCAACCCACTGCCACTGATTTTACACAGCTTTGATTTTACCTCTATGGTTAAAACAGTATCCAGGTGAGCACTGTGTGAAACCTGAGCAGCCTGTATGCTCTTGTAGCTTGTCTGTATTAGTGAATTCAGTAAATTTCTCCCATACTTTAGCATGAATGAGTTGATAGACGTGGCCCACACATTCAAAGCCAGTTCTAAACTTGATGTAAATTGATTAGGCAGAATGACTGGGAGCTTGAGGAGGGAGTATCATGCAAATCTATGGTTGGCCAGTGTGAGAACATGCAAACACGTGTCTGTCGAGTGGCACATGAACACAGAACTGGTTTGTTGCTGGATCAGGCTCTGTGTGACAAGCTGAAAGTACACCCCAAAGCTGTGTGTTTCTGTGTGTGTGCTATTTCTGCTGTATAGTGGACATGATTGTTACAGAAACTGAATTGTGGCATAGTTTACACAAAGAAAAAAGGTATATTTTCAGATTTGAAGTTTCATGTTACGATGCTTACCACAGCGTGGAGAGATTCGATCTCGATCTGCATGTGGTGCCACTGCCGCCTCGCTTCACAGAGTTCTGCTCGGGCTGCTTTTAATGCTTCTGCATCTTTGTCCATTCTTTTAACTGTAGCTTCTTCTAGCTGCAGCAGGTATAAAAAAGATGGTAATATTAAAAAATATATTAAAATAATGAAAATAAAATAGATACATAACAATATCTGGTTGGAAAGAACAGCCTTATAGAGCAGGAGCCCTTTGGAGTGCTTGCATGATTATGGTTTTGTCTCACCTGGTCAGTGAGGAGGTTTCAGATTGTCAATTCTGAGTTTTACTGCAAGTGGGGAAGATGCCATAAGCACTTGAAATAAAACATGCTCTTCTGCGTATTTTACTGCTTTATTTAGGTTCTTATGATGCCATCAACTCTTTAGTTCAGGTCTTATACGGCAACTAAAATTAGTTTATTTTAGCCCCATTACATACTGACCTACTGTGATTTTACCATGCCATTGTTTTGGTGAAACATCTAGATTTGGCTAATCCACAAGCGAAGACTGGATACTCTTTGCTTACCCTTTTTTGCCTGGGTACTGCAGAACCGAAGTGACAAGATTATATGAATACACATTGGCTGCTTTATGCCAAACACAAATACAAATCTGACTTAGCTGTCTAGTTTACAGCCATTGCATTGCTGTGGGGATCATCCTGACTGCAGCAGCAGCCAGGCCTGGGATTAAAATAAACCTCACGATTTCTGCAATACTCAAGAAGTAAAACAAGGTGATATAATACTTAGTTTTCACCCTGGATTTCTTAATGCTTGATGGCCAAAACGTGTTTGGCTGTTTTATTTCCAAGTTCACTTGGGTTTTAAAGGTGTTTTGTATGTAAATCTGTAATAGCAGCATTGTGTGTTGTTAACATTGAATCAGTCTGTATTAAAGAACAGACTATTTGCTGAGGAGTATAACATAGTTTTACTGTGAACGCTATAAAATAGTCCCTGAAAAGGTACAGTTTGCTTTAATATAGGTGCTAAAACCAGTAAGCTGTCAGTATTTACATGAATTCTCCACATTGCCTTTGATTTGCACGGTTCTCTTCTTCTGGGATAGCTCCATGGTGCTAGAGGTTACCATGTTACAGCATATGTCATCATTTTTTAAATCACAACAATATCACTGCTGCAGGTACAGAAAATCAGCCAGACTAATTACACGGCACTCGTTCAGTGTGAATTTCATACCCTGAGCAAAATCTGCATCCCTGTCTTCTAGTTTGCATCTTACTGCAGTAGAAGCACAAACCTTCCCCGGCAATATGCTGCATTGAAAAGGCAATACTGTACCTCCGAGAGGCTGAGGGAGGAACTGTACAGAGCGGGGACGGCTCCTTGCTCTGGAGGGTGTATGGCTGTGTGGAGGCATTACCTGAGTCCTCGCTGAGGTGATGG